TTGTTTGCTTGTTTGCGAAAAGCCAATGTGTATTGAAGAGTCTACACTAAAAACCATGAGCTGTAAGAAAAAAAATTGTGTTCAGTACTGTAATTTATAAAATGACTGAAATACCACAAACGCTCTGATTGGTCAAAATCCTATTATTTACTGAAGCAGTTAACCAAAGTGGCCAGAAAGTACGTCAATTGCTGAAGTAACTCGAGGCGGCGTGGCCGAGTGGTTAGGATTCTGGTCTTGTAATCTGGTGGTCTCGGGTTCAAGTCCTTCACCCTGCCATTCACTGGATTTGTTCTTGCTCCGAGTTCAACTCCTCCGCTGCGCTGTGTAAATAGCCAACTGGTCTGCCTCCTGCCAGTTGGGATTTTCAAGCATTCTAGGTTTGATTCAGTCATTGTAAAGCGCTATTAGATAGCGATAGAAATAGCGCTATATAAATAAACCATTATTATTATTATTATTACAAAGATGACTGATATCTCTGTATGACCCATTGAGAAGCGTTCACCCGACAGTCTTCACTTCATAAAACTACCAAAGAGACTTTAAATTTCCAGTAGAACAGTTTATTTACCTTTTTATCTATGTATTTCATCTCTTAAATTAATAAATACTTTTCTCTCTAAAAGCATATTTTTGTCTTCAGTATTTCTTAATTTATCATTCTATCACTATATACACCTACGTTATAGCTGGGACTATGCCTGAAAATCTCGCTAGTTTGCTTTCTGGAAGTTCATGTGAGCTGTTGACTATCGGATGAAGCGCATGTAGAAATAAATACTGCTCATGTTAGAGTCATAAATAGTCGCTTCATTAATCCTTTGAAACGAGATGAATAAAATGTATATTTTTTTCGAACAAGATTCCCCTTAGGAGAAATGTCTTAAAACCTGGTTGCACTGTGGGGTCATAGTATAGCACAGGCGCATCACTCGACTGCAACTTCAGCTGCTCTCAAACACAACTGTTTTCCCCTCACTATTGTGATTTAGCGATTTTGATTCAACACACTTGATGGAATCTTTCACAAAACGTGCAAATTCAAGGCGTGACTAATGAGGTAGGAGAGGGAGGGGAGGGAGAGGAGCAAGGTCTTGTGAGCAAGTAGCTTATTCGATGTCAAAAAAAAAATTATAAAAGAAATAGCCTGGAGGCTTCTCCCCATCCTCCTCCTGCTTCATTCCTAGTTATATGTAGCTGTATATATAAATGAATGTGGGGGTAGAGTCTACCTTGGCATAAAGTGCTCAATGCTGTGGTAGCAGAGCTAAGTATACATAAGTTAAAGAATTAAAGAGGACGTATCGATTCTCTGTGACTCTTATGTATAGCTGTATATATATATATATAGTTTACATCAAATAAGAAAGTTGAAAAAGCTAAGCTGCATATTTGTAGTTCACAGATCAGCGCGACAAAGATGTGCATGCTGAGAAGGGTAAGCAGAGCAACAATCTCCCTGTACGTACGTGTTGAGAATAGTTTAAAACTTGCTTACTCTTAAATCTTTATGTCACTATAAGATTCTTCAACATCGTCGAATCGTCAAGAAACGCAAAGAGCCTGATTCCCTCTAACTTCTTGCACAGACGTTTCTGTTTGACCACCGCTGACCACTCGAGCTGCCGGCATCCGAGATGCTGATGACCAGCAATTACTGCTGACAAGTTTACACAGAACTCCACTAGAACCTGCTCCATAATCGCAGAAAAACCTAAAAATATAGATGAAAACATTTCTGATCATCCACTTCAAGACGCGCATCAGGGCCAGAAACGTCGAAATAATCGACAGTAAACCAACTTTAAAGAATCCTTCCTAGATAGGAGTTAGATCACACGAGAGAGGGGAAAGAGATTAACGACAAAACCAGGAGAAGTGTGCACCAAACGAATTCTGTGGCTGATTTGGTTGTTATAAATTCAATTCAAAAGTCGTTCACGGTATAAAATGTATGAGACTGGAGATTTAATCCTCGTTGCTGGATTCTCATCACTAAAAATTATACGATGAGCCGAATGATACAGCACTTCCATCGGTTCTTTCTTATAATATATGGGAGGTCAGACGCCTAGATGACGTCAACATTAACAGCATTTTACGTTTCCATGATATAAAACAAATAGATTCCCTGTAGTCATGGGTCTGTGCAGTAATAGATCACAGAAGACGTCCGAATGTAACTGGAATATCTGATCACATTTTGGTATCACCTGTGATCTACAACTAAACAGATGCACGCCAACATGGCGTCTATTTTTAAAGTGTTATGCAGTCTAAAAGGGCTTTTTTTTTTCTTTACCAAAACCTATGAAGCTTCAGTCTCTTCAACCTACAACTTATCAAGCAAGAAGCAAAGGAGAACTGACTTTGATTTGAGCACCGCATAACAGCTTCAAAATCCAAATTTACAACAAAAAAGTTTTCGCGTTGCTGTGCTTTTGTTCAGTAATAGATCACAGACGACGTCAAAAGGAGATTAAAAAAAAGGGGCACACAATGTGCAGCCGGGTGTCACTGATGTTCTTATCTATTAAATCAGCCTGTCATGTATATAACTAGTGGTTAAAGTGTTGTAACACTGTACCTGTCACGTCTGACAAACTTCACGTCATGTCTCTCGAGACGCAAATAGCGTAGCCATCCGACGTACCACAAGTGGTGCACCTACGTGTCAGTATAAATACATTAAGAGATACGTCAATATCAAGGAAGCAGTGATGACTGATTAAGAAACCAGTCAAAGGTAAAATATGCAATCGACAGCACTGCATCTCTAACATGAGACCTCAGCAACTGACCGTGCAATATCATTGGAGATTGTGTTCACTCAAGACTATGGTGACTAACTAACAGAGCTCAGTGAATTCAAATAGATTTGGAATGTTTATGACCGTTTACTAACTACGTAATCGACTAAATTTATACTAAATACGGAATCTTTCTTGTCTGATAGACCGCTGGACTAAGTTGATGACTGAGTCACTATCCAGCAGAAAAAGATTGAGAGGTAAAACGATGGGGAGGGTGAGTAACATATTCTGAACTCAGCTAAGATTGGTAAATTGGTGTTTCAAAAAAAACGGCAGAGCGCTAAGAGATAGAAAAGGGAACATAAAATAAACGGCATGGCGCTAAGAGATAGAGATAAAATAAACGGCAGGGCGCTAAGGGATAGGAAAGGGAACATAAAATAAATCAATAAATAAATAAACTCCAACCCATGAAGTAATTTTCGCGTATGCATTTTATTGTTGATCTCTTTAACGAGCATTTGCTTTTTTGTCAAGATGACACCTTACGCCTTAAACGTCTGTCTATCTTATCAGCTGTTTTCTGAATAATGTATTGATAGTGTTAGGAAAAGTCACATGCTTAACACCTTTGAGTATGCTCACCTGTAAAAATCGTGCATCGGATAGCATGTGTTACCAGACACTTGATACAAACAGCGACAAGACTCTTTAGCTCGCTCAACTTCTCTTCTGTTACCGTGTACTTTGTTATCTGAGGGAGGAGAGAGTAGTAATCATTAGTGCCAGAGGATGTAACAGTGATAAACGGGTGGGGTAGGGGTAAGTCAAACATTATATTTACTTCTAAGTTTGGGCTCGACACCAGTGGCCAGACAAATCCCGTCAAACCGGTTATTGAAGACTTCGTTTTCTTCTAGAACTCCTCCTGAAAAAAATAGGGATGATATGATTTTTTTCAGTCTATAATAAGGAGATTAAACAAGCAGGAGTTGATTCATTTCGGGTCAATTAGAGAATCGATGACAGTACGAAGAGGCCATTTTAAAGGTTGCTGATGAAACTATATATTGTTACTCTGTCAAAAGGAATATTTTTGATGATTTACAAATTCAAGATGAATTTTATTACCAAGAGTCAATTCTTTTCAACTTCTGAAGTGCACAGATCTAGAGAAACAAAAGTGATAACAAAAATTCATGGGTGGAGCAAAGGGAGGTGAGATTTTCTAAAGATCATTCAATAAAGAGTGATGATAGTGAAGGAGTTATGTTGCTCACCAGCACTGTTTGTTATCTCAATTCCCGCGGCACCGCCATCAAAAATACGGTTCCTTTTCAGCACAGGAAAACTTGCTGTACTGAGAAGCACACCTGAACAACAGAGAAGTGCACAGGATCATTACATTGTTTACTAAAAATACTGACTGACTTATTGTAAACGGTTCATCAAAGATTTTGAGTGAGAGTAATTTTCAATTGAGTATCGTAAGTGGTCCTATACTGCATTATGTTTTCTTCAGTTCGCTGCCATTAGTCTTCAAAACTCCCGCCATCCTCTCACTCTATCAAATACAAAACTAACACCAGTCGTGACTGGCAAACCCGCTTTTCCTTGCCCTTTAAGAAGTTTGCTTGTGTTCTTTTTAAATTTGATCGGTTCTTTACATTACTTCCATTGCGTTTTTACTGATTGGTCGTTTTCAACACTTTGGCTTTGCTTTAAGACATTTAATTGACAAGAACCCTAACAGATCAACCACGATATCAGAAAAATAATTATTGTTTTAAGTAAGTTCGAAAGATAATATTCAAATTTCTGTCGTGGGAGTAAAGATGACTGAGCTATGACAGGGAATAAACTGTTATTCAATCCAAACTTACGAGGCTTACCTGTCAATGCATTTCTGAAGATGTCATTATTTTCTTAAACACCTAAAAAGGAATATAATAGTAGATCAGTGACAGCGAGTTACATCAACTGACACGAGATGGCGGTCTTCCTGGGGCCTATTTCTCGAAGGTCTGATTAGGGAGTTTAAGAAAACCACTACGGTAACGGTAACTTATGGGCGGCCATCACCACCAAAAATACAAGGATGTCAAATAGATCAGCAAATAAAAAGCTGGTCTAAGGATCGGCTGCAGCATAGCATAGCTTATGAAGGAATGGCATGGCCAAATTATAGACGGCTTAGTTTTCCTTCGTGAAACAGAACACCCTAAACATGGATAGTTCAGCCAAATGATAAACGGTGTAGTTGCCCATGTCGAGTTGGAAAATGAAATTGTGGAATGGACTAGCTCAATTGCGAATAGCTTAGCACTCATTTGCAATACAGTACACAAACGGTGTTGCGTTGCGTCAAATGGCTCAGGGTAAGGTCGAGTAGCACAGCGTACGCACAAACAATGTAGCGTTTCGTGAAATGGCTCGGCATAATGTAGAATGGTACAGCGTACACACATATGGTGTAGCGTTGCGTGAAATGGCTCAGCGTAATGTCGAATGGTACAGCGTAGGTACCAACGATGTAGTGTGGCGTGAAATGGCTCAGCGTAATGACGAATAGTACAGCGTAATGTCGAATGGTACAGCGTGCACACAAATGGTGTAGAGTTGCGTGAAATAGCTCAGCGTAATGTAGAATAGTACAGCGTACATACAAACAGTGTAGCATTGTGTCAAATGGCTCAGCGTAATGTCGAATAGTACAGCGTACACACAAATGGTGTAGAGTTGCGTCAAATGGCTTAGCGTAATGTCGAATAGTACAGCGTACACACAAATAGTGTAGCGTTAGGTCGAATAGCTTTACAGAATATCAGACGCTCCATCTGAACATTACATTGCTTTGTATTACTTGAAATATTTCGATGTTGTGGCGAATCGTCGAGCTTGCTTGTGGCGTGACGTGAAGGCCATGTCATTCCTTTATTGGCTATACATTCTAACTACACTATCACGAAACATTCAATGTGAAATAGTTTAATGAGGAATGGTCAGTCAGTCATCCGACAACAACAATGTGACGTAACATATACTTATTACAACATAGAATATGCTAGCAAGTCTAACTTGGAAAGCTTGAAAAATTAAGTGTACCACGCCAGATACGAAAAACCACTAAAAAACCACTCTTTAGATGTGGCCAAAAAATATGTGGAAACGTATTCCCCATCTAATGCAGTGGCACGGAACCTCGGGGAAGAGGTACAAACAAACCCATAACTCCATAGAAAAAATTTAACTAAATTGACAACAGCAAACAGAAAGACTGACTGAGCTAGAATGATTAATATTCCCCGCTAAAACATTAAATACTCAAAACTCTCCCCTGAGAATACTAAAACCTCTCAATCATGCCATCAGAATAGTAATTTCTGACTAATTCGTTCCTAGTCACTCAATCGTCAGAAATTACATTTTTCTGCAGCTGATCCTTAAGCCACCTTTGTATGTGCTGATCTATTTGACATCCTTGTATTTTTGGTGGTGACGGCCGCCAAGGCTATCTTGCCGAAACCATCAAAAATTCAAACCGCAAATGGAACAGCGATCTGCTGGGGGCATGACGTCATCGAATGTGAAGAATGGCGCGAAACCATCACATGGCGTAGTTACTGCATTGAATAGTCTTCACTTCGCTTTGCCGTAAAGCAGAGCCAATTCGGTAAGTTTCTCCTTTTTTTCCCTGCCGATATTGCATTTATTCGTTGTCATTCATGAAAGCATCAATTAAAATAGCAACGAGACTGAATTCTAACACGGTTGCCGGCCTCCCGGTTTACCCGCGTTTGTGGGCCTGAATATGTTTGTAGTATTAAGTAGTGTTATGACGTGCATTAAATGTTGATTGTCGAGCTCTCTTTTCTTTCTCTGACTCACGCTTACTTTCCAACGAGAGTTCGACTTTAAAGGCTCTTTGAACATTGGAGGAGTACGTGAGAAGTTGAATCTTGTGTGTGCCCTGGACGCCATGGTAAGAAAACTGATATCCTTGATCTGTTTTGAAATTTTTCAATCAAACTGAGTGATATCGGAATGCTTTAATTGGTGAGCCGGACGATAAAACCAACTCGGAAAAAAGGTTGCTTTGGCCAACACCACATGTTTGATTGAAAAATGTCAAAACAGATCATTGATATCAGTTTTACTTACCATGGCGTCCAAGGCACACACACAATCCAACTTCTCACGTATTCCTGCAATTTTCAAAGAGCCTTTGCAGTTAAACTCTCATTGAAAAGAAAGCGCGAGTCAGAAAAGAAAAGAGAGTTCGGCAATCAACATTTAATGCACGTCTTAAAACTACTTAATACTGGTTAAGAATATATGAAAGTCATATATTTGAACTGCGGATAAAGACGTGAATGAAAGTGATCCTCACAGTGATGTGCACTACTTAGGCAGAAGTGAAAATAAGGCCTGAAAAAATTCAGGCCTGTACGGGATTTGAACCCATGACCTCTGCGATACCGGTGCAGCGCTCTACCAACTGAGCTAACAAGCCAACTGGGAGCTGGTCATGATGTTGGTTCTAAATAAACCCGTGAAGTGATGAAATAAACGGTTAAGAATATATGAAAGTCATATATTTGAACTGCGGATAAAGACGTGAATGAAAGTGATCCTCGCAGTAATGTGCACTACTTAGGCAGTAGTAACCATACCAACATCATGACCAGCTCCCAGTTGGCTTGTTAGCTCAGTTGGTAGAGCGCTGCAACGGTATCGCAGAGGTCATGGGTTCAAATCCCGTACAGGCCTGAATTTTTTCAGGCCTTATTTTCACTACTGCCTAAGTAGTGCACATTACTGCGAGGATCACTTTCATTCACTACTTAATACTATGAACATTCAGGCTCACCAACGCATGCAAACTGTGGTAGACCGGGAGGCCGGCAAACCGTAAAAAAATCCAGTCTCGTTGCTATTTTAATTAACGCTTTCACGAACGACAACGAATAAATGCAATATCGGCGGGGAAAAAAAGGAGAAACTCACTGAATTGGCTCTGCTTTACGGCAAGGCGAAGTGAAGACTCTTCAACACAGTGGCTACACCATCTGATGATTTCGCGACAGTCTTCACATTCGATGACGTCATGCCCCCAGCAGATCACTGTTCCATTTGCAGTTTGTATTTCTGGTGGTTTCGGCGAGACACGTCACGCCACGAGCAAGCTCGACGATTCGCCACAACATCGGAATATTTCGTGCAATGCTAAGCAATTTAATGTTCAGCTCATCCTTAAACCAGCTTTGTATTTGCTGATCTATTTGAAATCCTTTTATTTTTGGTGGTGACGGCCGCCCAAAGCAACGTCACTAACAAAAAAGTTTAATGAGCAGAACAATGGCTGTGCACGTGCTTTATAAATCTTTGTACATTTCTTTGAGTCCTCTGCGAAACATCAACGTGAAAAGACCAAACTTGGCGTTGCCTTGAGAACGTGAACGACGACGACTAATTTTTTTGAATTGCTATTTCTAATGTAACGCTGTGTTCCATATTCATTTTCGAAATAGTTTTGACAAACCAAATGACTTCATAGTATCGCGAGATTCGCAGGCAAAATATAAGTTCATTTTTTAACCGACTTTGTTCACGGCGTCGCCACCGTCGTTTCTTAAACTCCCTACTAAACCAACGGGCCCGTAAAGCTGTTCTGTTTTTATATTCAAAATGGAGGTTTCGAAAAGTTGTGAGAATTATACAAGAAAACGAGCAGCCAAAGAAACAAAATGGACTGGTCAGGTTGCCAGAGCCTGCTTCCCATTTCAATAACTTTTGATTTTAGAATATGGCTCCGGGGACGTTAAGTTATCGGGACTTTTGAGAAACGGTCCCCAGGTCAGGTATTCTCTTCAACAATGATTGACCCGTTCATTTCCCTGGAGTGACTCGAAACTAACTTGTCCTTGGAACAACATATTGTCCAGCACAAAGATAGGAGAATAGAAAAACGGAGCAGCTTGAAAGTTTCATTTCTACCACTAAATTTACAAAGAAATGTGTTGCTCATAAGAGGGAGAAATAATTAAGATATAAAAGGTTAAATTAGCCGTGGTATGTCGAAAGGGTTTAAGAGTACACAATTCCAGCCCCAATGAATCCCTAACTCTACACGGCACGTTCCGGATCAAGACCTTGAATAAAGAAAGAAATCAAACGACTGAAGCGAAGTAGTTTTCTTTCTTGGTTTGTTTCTGATTTAAGGAGTAATAAATAAACAAATAGAGGACGGCGATATGAATTGCTCAGAGCCAAGGCATAGTGTGTTACTTTTTTAAATACTCTACCTCCGTTGTAGGCCAGAACGCCACCATTCTGTCTTCCCCAAATCTTATTTCTTCTGATACAGGGATTGCTTCCCGATCTACAGCAAGGAAAGTACACAAGACATTTCATGATAAGTACACGAATTTAGTAAAATAGAAAGCTCGTTCGAAGTGAGAGCTGGTTTATCTCGCAGTTGGTCTAAAGGCTCAGTTGATTTAAGCGCCACACAGGGGTGTGAGGCCGTTTGAAGCTTGCTTCATTGAGCTTTGCCCGAAGTCAAGCTCCCAAGTATGAGTGGGACAAATAACTGAGGAACAGAGGGGGTGAAGGAGGAGAATCCCTGTCTCCTCACATTTCTCCGTTTCTGCCGTTCCTCCGCACTGAAGAGCCATGTCAGCTGTCTCACTGCATGCTCCTTCATTAACAAACTCGCCTAAGGTTTCCTTCCATAACGTTATGACGCTTTACTAATATATGGAGAATCGTAGCCTATATACTTCACAACACGCAAAAAGGCAACAATAGTTTGGGTTGCTCGCAGTTTTGTCAGCGTCCACACTCGCATAGTTTTATTTTGATTTTGCAAACAAGTATGTGCTCATCTTTACTTTAAGGTAAGGTACCCCAACCTACTTCAAAGGAGCAGTTTATTTGGAATAAATTAGCGACAGTAACAATCAAAAGAAATGGCTCAGAACGTAATACATCGGCTGAAAAGACAGACTGGACACTTGACGAAGACAAATTTATTACCTTAGTGACACTGGCATTATAAATTTATATAGAACTGACTTTATCATCAATGGGGAAAAGCTTAAAGTGAATAAATTTCTCAAAAATAAGCTTTAAAAGTTTGCTTTTAAACACTTTGCCTTTTAAAAATATTTACGGGACATTTAAGAATTCGCGTTTCATTTTAAATGACGTAACTTGATTGTAACAAGCTTCAGCAATTTTTTTAAAATTGAAACTAAGTTAAAAAGTTATGAAGCCATCATAGTAAGGTCAGTCAAACGATACATGTTTGATAAACGAATAGAAATAAAATTAGTTTAGAGGATAATGTGGGCAAGTTAATTTGATACTTTTTTAATTTAAGATAAGCCTTTCATTTAGTAATTACGGTGCACTTTTTTATGTTTACTTAGTTTAAAAATTGGGACGTGTTTTTTTACAATTTCAAACCGACCAAACCGGTTAAATTCGATTTAGCTTTGTGCTTTACCCTCAAGTGCAGTTGTTTGTCCCCAGTCCTAGGATGTGCGTCAATTTCTGACGGTTATGGCTGAATTTTGTCTCTTCGTGTCCTTTGGTTATTTAAGGTGCAGAGTGTTAGCGTTACACAGAATTGTTTGCTTGTTATGTCCAGTTTAGGTACGCTCAGCTGCAAGCTAAAACATAGAGAGAGTGCATAAGCTCCCAAGGGAGTTCATCAAGACAAATATTCTTTCTATTCATTTAGATTCAATATCAGTTTCATCTCATTTAAAAATTCGAAAAGAACTCTTATTTATGTTGATTTCAATTGTTCAGAGAAGGATTAAGCAAATCCTAAACAATAACAATTTTTAATGAAGTTGTCTTTTAAACATTTAATGGCATTACCATCGGGAAACTTTAATCTGTTAATGTATGTAGCTAATGTGGACGAGTTCTACCTGTTTTCCACTGTGGATCCTGTTGTTTCTGAGCGTGGGTGTGCTTCCTATACGCAAGGGAAAGCAAAGAAGAATATCAGTGATGGAGACTTGAAATGGTTTACATGTAGGCATTATTTTCATTGCAGTGTTTTAGGAATACTTTCCAGTTGAAATTCACCAGTCTGCACCAAGTTATAGGATAAAATTAGGTATTCCGAACTAAACTCTTCCATAAATAAAGGGGTAAGTTTCTAAAGAAACTGTGGTGCTGCGTCGGTGGGAGAGTATAGCAGGTAATGTAGTGTTAACAACTGAGTTGAAAACGTAAATTAGCCACCGTAAAGAGTAAAAAAGCTGACGTTTCGAGCGTTAGCCCTTCGTCAGAGCGATTGGAGGAATTGTGGGTTGTGTGTGGGTTTATATGTAGAAAGTGGAGCTACGCCATTGGTGGGAATATGGTGACGAGAAAACGGGAATAAATTAGTTGAATGAAAAGCGTTCATTGATTCCGTGGGGATTAAGAGTGCCGATTTGGAAGATAAATTTTTGTTCTAGTGTTTAACTGCCTAGATGTAAGGAGGGCCAAATTACTTACAACTCATCGCCTGAAAACCTCAAAACTGTAGTTACCATTCCAGAAAATTTACTACTTTCCGATTCAGAAAAATCAGTTCTCAGCAAGGGCTTAAATTTTGTTCCCATATCCAAAAAAACCGACGAATTTTCAGTTAAGCAAGACGTTGAAAAATTCCTTCGCCGCGTTCAGTTAAAAGCCTCTTTTCATGACAAAGAGGATGATTCTAACACCTCGAACAAAGATACTTTCGAAACACTCCAGATTCGAAAGTCTAAATGGACTCCCCCAGAGGGCCAGTTCTTATCTTTAGATTTTTTCCTCAAAAAATGTCGCCACGATATCAACAAACTTAAATACAATCGTGACACCAAATTTTCCAATCTTTCTTCGGAAGAGTGGTCGGCACTAAAAAGTCTAAAAAAACGCAAAGACATATTCATTAAGGCGGCCGACAAAGGCGGCGCAGTTGTTGTTTGGCGGGCCGACCTCTACCAAAAAGAAGCTTTGCGGCAACTTTCTGACACCTCCTTTCATGCTAAAGTCGACAAAGGTCTCACTTTTATTAACCAAAACATTGTCAAAAATACGATTAACGATCTTATAGCTAAACAAGAATTGCCGGCCACTGCTAAAAATCTCATCATTACCACTCCTAGAACTTCGTGTATTTACTTTTTACTTAAAATCCACAAACCTAACAACCCAGGTCGACCCATCGTTTCTGCCTGCAGTTGTCCCACCGAACTTATTTCCAGCTATTTAGACAAAATTATGGCGCCTATCGTCAAAACTTTACCGTCTTACATTAAGAACAGCCAACACGCACTTGAAATTTTTCGTAACTTTAGTTTCCTCGACCAAAACAAACTTATTTTCACCATGGATATAACATCTCTTTACACTGTCATTCCCAATGACGAAGGTCTCCGGGCCCTCAAACAATTTTTCGATCAACGCACTCTTAAGGAACCTAGCTCTGAAACACTACTCCGTCTGGCCGAACTAGTACTCACACTCAATTGCTTTTCATTTGGGGGTAACTACTACAAACAAACTAATGGCGTGGCCATGGGTACTAAAATGGGACCCAGCTACGCCAATCTTTTTGTAGGTTTTATCGAACATCAATTTTTTAGCCAATACCACGGCCCAAAACCTGAACTCTACGGCCGCTACATTGACGATTGCATCGGTGCTACCTCCTCTACCAAAGAGGAGCTCACTCAATTTATAACCGCCGTCAATTCCTTTCAGCCGGCTCTTAAATATACCTGGGAAATTTCCGACACTTCTTTGGCTTTTCTAGACATCAAAATTTCAATTGAAGGCAACGGCTTACGTACTAGTGTTTACTACAAACCTACAGATTCACATAGTTACTTGTTGTATTCATCTTCATATCCATCACACGTCAAGAACTCCATACCTTTTTCACAGTTTCTCAGACTTCGTCGTTTATGTAGTGACGACTCTGATTTTTCCGAAAAATCAGAGACAATGTGCCAGTTTTTCGATAAACGTAGCTATCCTGTTTCTGTCGTTCAAGCGGGCCACCACCGTGCCCAACAAATCGATCGACAGTCAGCACTACAAACGGCTGAGAAGGAAAACATTGACCGCATTCCATTTACTCTTACATTTCACCCTCACAACCACGCAGTTAAATCTATCATTCTTAAAAAATTTAAATTACTCCAAAACGATTCAGACTGTCACTATCTTTTCGCAACCCTCACTTATTTCATTCAAACGTGACAAAAACATAGGCAACCTTTTTAGTCAGGAGTTCATTTCAAACCAATGACCAATCTGGAACTTTTAAATGCGCTCGTGCACGATGCAAAACTTGTCCTTTCATTCATAACGTAGAGAAAATATCGGGACCCAAGAGATCCATTAAGATCATTGATCACTTTACGTGTACCTCCGCCAATGTTATTTACTGCATAACATGCACTTATTGCAATAAGTTATACATCGGCGAAACAGGAAGACGACTAGGTGACCGATTCCGAGAACACTTTCGCGACGTGGAAAGAAATGACAAGGACGCATCCAAACCAGTCGCTAGACACTTTAATCTTCCTAATCATTCTAAACAGCATATGGCAGTTTGCAGCCTTTCCTTACATCTAGGCAGTTCGGAAAGCCGTAAAACTTGGTATGAGATTCAGACCTTCGGGTTTGTAAATGCCAGTATCCTCGTCATAAAAATCAGAGACGTAAAGTTGAGAGAGAGGTGAATCTGAAGATGGCAGAAGAAATCAAAGCTGGTGGCGAGTCTTCCTAGTGGCAAGGTGACTGTAAACCTAATAGAACGCGTACTGTAACTGCTATCCTAGAGTCAGCAATTAATAAGGAAGAAGGGCAAGAAGAGCGCTCATCTGAGCATCAGTTTTCCTAACTAATGATTTGTGACTGAAATGAACTTTATATCATATGATTTCTAGGGATACGCAGGTACTGTAGAGACGCTCACATAAATAGAGGTGGGCGATCCTCCCTCTGACTTTAAAACTGCGACAAGTTTATAGCGCAGACCAACTGGCACAGTTTGGAGCACCTCGGGGTCTCAATAGGCTCATTACATTAGAAACCTTCAGCAAACTAATCATAGAAGTGGGTGGTTATCAGCAACGTGCACAGATCCCTGAACGCGGGCCATCGCGAGAACTATATCCAATCCGTCACAGACAGAACAAGAAAGCGAGATATTCTTGCTAAGAGGAAGGATGTATCAAGACGTTTCAGTCATTGGCTGCCATCCAAAAGCACCCTAACAAAGGCAAACACAGTGAAGCTGACAAAAAAATCCGCCTATGATAAGATTAAGAGAAAATGGACGAAGACCGGCTTGCCATTTTAAAGGGGGTGGCTTCGTTCAAGGTCGGACCTCAGGTAAACTTCTGACGAAACATCCCTAACTAGCCAAATGGACTTTGCATGGGCTCTTAGGAAAACACAAAAACCAGCCACCTTTTCTCAGAAAGCAAAGAATTATCTCCTTGACATGAGCTGGACAGGGGAGGAAACTAGTAAGGCAACCGCCTCTAACAAGGCTGAAGATAAGGAGTGACCTTGCAAATTTAGACGAAGACTGCAGGAGAGGGTACAGCTGCTATTAAGCTAAAAAAAAAAAAAAAAAAAAGATCTTTGCATCTCACTTTTCAAAGTTGTCAAATATTTGGATGAATCGAAAAGTCTAAAAACTCAGTCGTTTATTTGCCTCTGTTGATTGACAAGCCGTCAATCAAATTGACTGATACTTGAGGTGGACATTAACTAAGGATCAAGAAAAACCGGGGGGGGGGGGGGGGGGGTCTATATTCCCCCGGAAAAAACCAAAACAGAAACTAGTTTGTATTTTTTAGTTTTGGGGTAGATCCTTTAACCTGGCAAAGTTTCGTTGAAATCGGTGAGATGGAATGTAGCACGACTGCCCGGTGCTACATGCCATTTTTCTCGGATTTCTTCGACAATTTTTACCAACAGAATTCCAACCTACAGTTGATTTGAAAATGTATCTAAACACGTGAACTACACAAACATACTATTTTAATCACAGTGACAGTGGTAGAAATCTATAAAAGCAACCGAGCAAAACACCGAATGTACACACAAGGATCATGCACAATTTAGTGAGTATTTTCATGGGACAACTACATGTTTCGAATATTTTATGTGTGCGAAGATTTTATCTAAATCACGCTCACGTATTTACAACAACATTTATAGTTACATGTAATTTACTCTAAAGTAATGCCAGTGGGATAGATTGTAAATTAAACAACAATATATGCGACAGGCCAATTTCAGCTAAAAACACGTCGACAGAGCTGGTATCTTTGTAAACAGCGATTTGTTTATTTAGCACTCGAGAAAAATCAACTCAAAAACTTTACCTGAAACGGTGGTTTGTTCACTTAACAATGAAGGTAGGTTAATTTTTAAGTTAAAATTGATATGTTTAAATGAATCAAAACTGAAGTAGAAACCAAACACGTCGAGTTTTGTCCCAATAGCGTGCGATTTGCAGTAGGAGTACAGCAATTAATGGCCTAACTCCGTGAAAATGCGCGCTATATATTTTGGTCTGGCGCGCTCGCTTTTCACGGGCCAAAAATAATATTTTTACATGATAAACACGAAGAATTTCTCGTGGAAAAGAGCTCTTTTATTTTATGTACATTTGTATACCCTCGATGTTATGGTCGTCTGAAATATAGTAAAATTCAGCGTACAAACGGAATAGAAAAGATAGTGTACTTTACGCGGGTGGTTACAAACGAAAGAAAGTTCAGTTGGAGATGAAATATAGTTGCAAAGCTACTCCAATGGATGAAAAACAACTTATGAAAAAATAAATCCAAGATAATTTTTCATTGTCTCGTACGAGCGTTGTGAAAATGCACTAAAAGCCCAATAGAAATTATGCAAATTAGGTAAGTTTTGGCCGATTTCGAACTTTCGTATTTTTTTTCCAAAATAAAAACTCGCTCGAACTTTTGAATATTTTTTTTGTAAACGATTCACCAAAGGTTCTTTTGGAGCAAATACAAAAAAAAGGTGAATTTTTGCTTCTGTCACCGGATTCTCGAAAATTACTGACAACCTCTCTTAAAACTCACGCCATCCTCAGCTAATAGACGCAAAATCACGACTCGATCACTCGCGTTATCACGCACTTCAGGTAAGTTGAGCTTGTTTCGGGATAAATGTTAATACCCGATAGCACACTTACCCCTCCCCTAACCCAAAAACAGTCAACTGATAACAAGTTAGGGTTACTGTTGGGTTAGGGGTGGGGTAGGTATGCAGTTGCTCAGATACTAACATTGATCCATGTTTTCTTTGAGGTCCAATTGACTGTCGTGGTTAATTTTGCTTTTGTTGCACTTAATCGAGAAAACCTTGGCACAAATGATTACTTGAACAATCTGTTTGACAAACTTGAAGTAGGGACTCAGAGACAAAATCAATAAAAACCATGAATGTTATTTCCTTCAATCAATCCATTTCCTTCGCCGAATACATAAACTCCTACAAGAGACAAACGAGACCTTAATGCCTTCGTAAGATTATAAATCAAGTCAAATAAAGGTAGCTTGGATTTAAAGAGAAATCTTGATTAAGTTCCCAGTTCACAACAATGGCGCTAAAGAAACATGATGGTGATTAACTTTTATTTACATGTTTTCAGTGCATTTATATCGAGTTTCGCAATGTTCATAATCATGTCAATTTCATGGTGTATTGATGAGCGCGATCACGGAAAAAAAAGCAGTAACGACAACAACAAAGCAATTCAGATACAAAAAGTGTCGCTCACCTCCTTGTTGTCCATCGTAGATCTCGTTGTTTCTAAAATACAATAAATTGAAGTAGTTAGCAAGTTTACTTCGCACTTAGGCTGAAAATGAACCGTAATCTTGTCAAGGAGAAGCTAGAAGCGAAATGGTAAACCTCTCATACTGTACAACGAAGAACTAACCATTCCGGAGTTTGTGCAGAGTTTGCAAAAAATAGCAAAATCACAGATTAAATAGTTGCTTTTCAAGAAATTGAGGTAATGCCAAGTGCAGCCTGTGAGCATGCGCTCACCATAAGCACTTCGGGACGGGCGTTTCTTCACTCGTGGGATAGTATATGAGGCCTTGAGCAATGCAACTCAACTAGATGTCTGCCAGGGACAGGGACCCCCGCCAAACCTTACCGATAGTCGTCTCATTTGTTTCCGCGGGCGGAGAAACGCGCGGTCTGCAGCGCTATTAGAAGGCACTTCCTTCAAGGTGTAATCATGATGAGTGCGCACCTACTTTGGACAAATTTTCCCCGGCATTGAATATTGACAAGTTTTGCGTGCGAAGTTTTTTTTCAATCCAAAAGACGTGAGAGATTTCGAACAAGTAGACTCATGAAGAAATTTTGCAATTTAATAAACAGAAGAACACGAAAATCTTCCTTACTTTATGGTTGGATTGCTCTGTGATGTGATCCAAACTCCAGCGTATGTGTTAGAATATATCTTATTTTCCAGGAATTCACCACGTGCCTGTTAGTTAAATACACCATTAAGTTTCACACAAATATATTTGCAATGTAAATGAAACAAAGTGTACTTACATCGTCATGACAGTATATGCCACCCGTCATACCGTGGTGTATTTTACATCCCACGACTGTTGGATTGGCGTGAGACCGAATCTCAAACCCAGCTATACGGTTGTTGTAAACATCGTTTCCTTCATAGTAGCCCTACAATTACAAGAATTATTTTATTGGTCTGTAGTGTGACAAGAAGCGGCCTTTTAAAACGGCCAAGAGTTAAGAATTGCTTGAGGCGCCTCCAGGAGCAACCCTAGATTCTTTAATGAAAGCTTTAAATACAAGTACTTCAATTTTTGTCAGAGTTCTCAGCTTGGCTGGGTCATTGCAGTAAGGTCCTGGTGCCTACTCTTACATGGTCTTTTCCACTCAGTAGTATTGATGAAGACCAAGCAAACTGTCTGGAAAACTCGGCAAAATGTTTTAGCGGGGGTCTCCAATACGATATTGTAACGGGTAAGTCATGAATGATTTTGTCAATTCATTTTCTGCTCTGCTGTACAACGAAAAATCTTTGGTACGAAATTTCATGTCTTTTGATAACCCACACTTATGTAAACTACATGGACTAGTTATTCAAACAAAGTTCAGACGTTGTTTTATAAAACCGCGCGCGTTCTTAGCTATCTTCAATTTAGCCAAAAGAGGGCCGAAAGATAATAGTGGAAGGACATTTAATTAATTTAATCAACCCCCCTATAGAGAAGACCTGAGGCCCACTGCTTACGTAAAACCGCGGCTTGAGTTAGACCACGGGACGGGGTGAATAACCGGCCCCATAAGTTTTCAGCAAGGAAAGGGGTTCAAGAATTTGCTGTAAATTGTGGATTACTTCTCACCTGCGCATCATCTGTGATGAAAATGCCAACATTTTCTGAGTCTGAGATAAAAAATTTTGACAAAGTGGGTCTGGCTCCTCTTCCATGTACATAAAATGTGGCACCAGCTATGAACAAAAATAAAATCAACTGTCCACTGATTCCCACATATTACTGACATTACCACAAGTTTGTTTGAACTTTTAAAAAACCAAAAATTATAAATATGACGTCTAATGCCTCTCTCTTACCACTAGCAAGGCTATTGAGCTTGCAGTTGTAGATTGTAGGACCACATTCATCAATAACCTCCACACATCCTGATCTGATCACCTCAGATTCACCGTTTGGGCAATTCTGCGGAAAAGGAAGTCCATCGAAATAAAAAAAGAAAAATTTTTCCAAGAAACAGCGAGAGGTCTGCAAGGGGTCTGGCACTGATCATTCTTAGAGCCAGACTCCCAGAAACCTCTCCCGACTAGTCTCAAGCGGGTAAAGAAATACGCGTACTGCAGTGCTATCAATTTTTGTGCTAATTTTTTTTAGGTTACTATCAACAAAATCTGGTCAAAATGTTCAAAATTGTTACTTTGCTATTCAGTTTGAAAAACTAGTTTAGTTTGATTTGCCAAAAAAATGTAAAATCTTATAAAGAACGCGAGATATGGCAAAAGACCTTTTTTCGCGGGCTTTCGTCTGGGATCTCGATTTGCACATTTTGTTAACATCGCGTCTTGCACTGCACAACAAAAGGGAATTTGTTGCATATTTCGCAAAACGTCAGGAAATAAGGTTCTTTATCAAACGGCCAAGATGAGAAAAGTCGCGAGAGAGCCCGGGCCAAATAAATCCAAGTTGCGTTTTTCTTTTTTCCTAGCTTGCTTTGCGCACTTTTCCTTCTGCTTTTTTTGATGAATTTTGGATTTCATTTTAATTCGTGTTCCCAGTTTCGAAAAATGACCTTTCCCGCGAATTTCAAAGGAGTTCTTTTTCACGAGACTTGCCAGGGGGTTCGATGTTGTGTTTCATTGGTCGGCGGCATGACCGCGCTTAAATGAGGGGCCAAAACTGTGAATATCTTAGCAGCCCAAAAATTCGGTTTCTTTTTACGCGAGTTACCTCTACTTACACGAATCAACAAGGGGTGTAGATTTGATGGATTTTCATGAAAATTGGCCAGTGTTCGTCAGATATAAACGCTCAAAAGAGTTGAGTTTAAAGACTCGCGCCTTTGATTTTACCAAAATCAAAACTTTGAAAAATTGTGTTACTTCTGCAATCTATACTTAAAAAGCTTTACATGGTTTCTTTAAAAGTAGCGCGCGTTGGACGATTTTTCCGTAAGGTTCCCTGTTGTGTTGACATTACCCCTTGAAGCAGTTTTCTGTACATACCTTCAAGGTGACATGCCCTAAGGGATTGCCTGAACCAGCACTGAAACTGACAACTGTTGAAGAGTCACATTGAATGACGACAAGACCATCTTCGCTCTTAGCTGTAGATAAAAAAAGAGGCCATCCTGTGAGCAAGTTGCTCATTTTTGGTTAAAATTTTACCTGAAACTTAACTTTTCATGATGTCAAGTGTCTGTCTTAGGATGTGGACATGAAAAACAGTTATTTATCATAAATGTATCATGACAAGCATGATCCAAATTCAGAACCTTGCCTTGGAAGACACTTCATGCCTTCCTTCAAAATCCAAGTTATACACCCTGGGTCTTAAAGATGTCACATTTATGTAGATTTTACTGGATTCTAGGAGCACTATGAAAATTATTCTGACTGAATTAATTGCTAACAAAAAAAATTTTGTGCATGGCAACTCAAATGATCAAAGAGGAAAAATTTTTAAACAACTGGGTAAAAAATACCAAATACAGTAGTGACCAATGAAAAAAGTTTGAAACATACATTTTTTAATTGTTGTATAACATATCTAACAAAAAGGTTGCATTTTACCATGTCTGTATCTTTTCAATTAAAAATCTTGTAAGATGCCACAAATGTAGTAAAAACATCATGGAATTTCAATCACCAGAAGCTTGTGTACCTCTTTAATCAAATGTTCTAATCACAATTTAATGCCATTTGTTATTGACAACAACCAGTAAACATATGCAGTAATAAGAAATCTGCAGGTTAACCAAATTATAGTCAGCAGCTAAGTGACAGCTGTTTTCACACCTTTATCAATCACCTGACATCTTAATAACACCCTTAACACTTTGCCCCTTAAGAGTGACCAGCATCTAATTTCTCCATACAATATCACCCTCAACTCACAAATTAAGGTCATGAGAATAAATTAAATGATCACCAACTAAGCAAGCACTTGATTGTTAAAAAAGTTCTCCTTGTCAGCACAGGATGAAATGTATAGAGGACAGTATGGAGAATATGCATGCTGATGTTAGGGTGTAAAGGGTTAATACCCCCCCCCCCCCGCTCATTCTGTTTTGGTCACTCCTTGGAGTTAAAGGGTTAACTTATTTTGGGTCAATTAGAGAATTGATGGAAGTACAAAGAAGCCATTTCTAAGGTTACTAATGAAACTATACATAGTCACTCTGTCAAAAGGAATATTTTTGATGATTTGCAAATTCAAGATGAATTTTATATATATAAATACTCCTTCTCAATATTGACTCTTATGGGTGACTAAGACATAATTCTCCTCACAATATTGACTCTCATGGGTGACTGAGACATAATTCTCCTCACAATATTGACTCTCATGGGTGACTGAGAGATAATTCTCCTTACAATATTGACTCTCATGGGTGACTGAGACATAATTCTCCTTACAATATTGACTCTCATGGGTGACTGAGAGATAATTCTCCTTACAATATTGACTCTCATGGGTGACTGAGAGATAATTCTCCTTACAATATTGACTCTCATGGGTGACTGAGACTTAATTCTCCTCACAATATTGACTCTCATGGGTGACTGAGACATAATTCTCTTTACAATATTGACTCTCATGGGTGACTGAGAGATAATTCTCCTTACAATATTGACTCTCATGGGTGACTGAGACTTAATTCTCCTCACAATATTGACTCTCATGGGTGACTGAGACATAATTCTCTTTACAATATTGACTCTCATGGGTGACTGAGATAATTCTCCTTACAATATTGACTCTCATGGGTGACTGAGACTTAATTCTCCTCACAATATTGACTCTCATGGGTGACTGAGACATAATTCTCTTTACAATATTGACTCTCATGGGTGACCGAGACATAATTCTCCTCACAATATTGACTCTCATGGGTGACCAAGACATAATTCTCCTCACAATATTGACTCTCATGGCTGACTAAGACATAATTCTCCTTACAATATTGACTCTCATGGGTGACTGACACATAATTCTCCTTACAATATTGACTCTCATGGGTGACTGAGACATAATTCTCCTCACAATATTGACTCTCATGGGTGACTGAGAGATAATTCTCCTTACAATATTGACTCTCATGGGTGACTGAGACATAATTCTCCTTACAATATTGACTCTCATGGGTGACTGAGAGATAATTCTCCTTACAATATTGACTCTCATGGGTGACTGAGACTTAATTCTCCTCACAATATTGACTCTCATGGGTGACTGAGACATAATTCTCTTTACAATATTGACTCTCATGGGTGACCGAGACATAATTCTCCTCACAATATTGACTCTCATGGGTGACCAAGACATAATTCTCCTCACAATATTGACTCTCATGGCTGACTAAGACATAATTCTCCTTACAATATTGACTCTCATGGGTGACTGACACATAATTCTCCTTACAATATTGACTCTCATGGGTGACTGAGACATAATTTTCCTTACAATATTGACTCTCATGGGTGACCGAGACATAATTCTCCTCACAATATTGACTCTCATGGGTGACCAAGACATAATTCTCCTCACAATATTGACTCTCATGGGGCTGACTAAAGACATAATTCTCATAATTCTCATTACAAATTGACTCTCATGGGTTGACATAATTCTCCTCAATATTGACTCTCATGGGTGACTGAGACATAATTCTCTCACAATATTGACTCTCATGGGTGACTGAGACATAATTCTCCTTACAATATTGACTCTCATGGGTGACTGAGACATAATTCTCCTTACAATATTGACTCTCATGGGTGACTGAGACATAATTCTCCTTACAATATTGACTCTCATGGGTGACTGAGACATAATTCTCCTTACAATATTGACTCTCATGGGTGACTGAGACATAATTCTCCTTACAATATTGACTCTCATGGGTGACTGAGACATAATTCTCCTCACAATATTGACTCTCATGGGTGACTGAGACATAATTCTCCTTACAATATTGACTCTCATGGGTGACTGAGACATAATTCTCCTTACAATATTGACTCTCATGGGTGACTGAGACATAATTCTCCTTATAATATTGACTCTCATGGGTGACTGAGACATAATTCTCCTTACAATATTGACTCTCATGGGTGACTGAGACATAATTCTCCTTACAATATTGACTCCATGGGTGACTGAGACATAATTCTCCTTACAATATTGACTCTCATGGGTGACTGAGACATAATTCTCATGGGTGACTGAGACTTACAATATTGACTCTCATGGGTGTGAGACATAATTGAGACAATATTGACTGCCATGGGTGACTGAGACATAATTCTCCTTACAATATTGACTCCCATGGGTGACTGAGACATAATTCTCCTTACAATATTGACTCCCATGGGTGACTGAGACATAATTCTCCTCACAATATTGACTCTCATGGGTGAATGAGACATAATTCTCCTTACAATACTGACTCTCATGGGTGAATGAGACATAATTCTCCTTACAATATTGACTGCCATGGGTGACTGAGACATAATTCTCCTTACAATATTGACTCTCATGGGTGACTGAGACATAATTCTCCTTACAATATTGACTCTCATGGGTGACTGAGACATAATTCTCCTTACAATATTGACTCTCATGGGTGACTGAGACATAATTCTCCTTACAATATTGACTCTCATGGGTGACTGAGACATAATTCTCCTTACAATATTGACTATCATGGGTGACTGAGACATAATTCTCTTTACAATATTGACTCTCATGGGTGACTGAGACATATTATAATATTCTCTCATGGGTGACTGAGACATAATTCTCTCTCAATATTGACTCTCATGGGTGACTGAGACATAATTCTCCTTACAATATTGACTATCATGGGTGACTGAGACATAATTCTCTTTACAATATTGACTCTCATGGGTGACTGAGACATAATTCTCCTTACAATATTGACTCCCATGGGTGACTGAGACATAATTCTCCTCGCAATATTGACTCTCATGGGTGACTGAGACATAATTCTCCTTACAATATTGACTCCCATGGGTGACTGAGACATAATTCTCCCTTACAATAATGGGTGACTGAGACATAATTCTCCTTATAATATTGACTCTCATGGGTGACTGAGACATAATTCTCCTTACAATATTGACTCCCATGGGTGACTGAGACATAATTCTACTTACAATATTGACTCCCATGGGTGACTGAGACATAATTCTCCTTACAATATTGACTCTCATGGGTGACTGAGACATAATTCTACTTACAATATTGACTCTCATGGGTGACTGAGACATAATTCTACTTACAATATTGACTCTCATGGGTGACTGAGACATAATTCTCCTTACAATATTGACTCTCATGGGTGACTGAGACATAATTCTACTTACAATATTGACTCTCATGGGTGACTGAGACATAATTCTCCTTACAATATTGACTCTCATGGGTGACTGAGACATAATTCTCCTTACAATATTGACTCTCATGGGTGACTGAGACATAATTCTCCTTATAATATTGACTCTCATGGGTGACTGAGACATAATTCTACTTACAATATTGACTCTCATGGGTGACTGAGACATAATTCTCCTCACAATATTGACTCCCATGGGTGACTGAGACATAATTCTCCTCACAATATTGACTCTCATGGGTGACTGAGACATAATTCTCCTCACAATATTGACTCCCATGGGTGACTGAGACATAATTCTCCTCACAATATTGACTCTCATGGGTGACTGAGACATAATTCTCCTTACAATATTGACTCTCATGGGTGACTGAGACATAATTCTCCTTACAATATTGACTCCCATGGGTGACTGAGACATAATTCTCCTTACAATATTGACTCTCATGGGTGACTGAGACATAATTCTCCTCACGGGTGACTGAGACAATATTGACTGACCATGGGTGACTGAGACATAAGTCTCCTTATAATATTGACTCTCATGGGTGACTGAGACATAATTCTCCTTACAATATTGACTCCCATGGGTGACTGAGACATAATTCTCCT